GTAATTGAGGCAGGGAGGGAAAACGGCAGGTGAGGGGAATTACTAATTAGGGAGGAGCAAACAGGCCAGATCATGACAACTTGTTTGGCTGCATTAAAGTTTTATTCATTTTGTGTCAACTTTCAGGGATCAAGTTGGACTTTAAGTCTCTGGAGTCTGTGGGTTTCTCTCTGGACCTTCTTAAGGAAAAGCAGGGAAGTGGAGGAATCAACAGGCCTGTGTGGCTCAATGCAGACATCCTCCAAGGTCCAAATGTACCGAGCTTCGTGCCTACGGTCAATGGAACCAGGTCAGACTCCTTAGAGTTCAGCAGAAGGTAAATAAAGCTGTTGGTAAATGACTGTTTTTCAATACTTTCCCAGATTTCTTCAGCTGATTCAGGAGAAGTTTCCAGATGTTACTCTGTCTCCCGGATGGATGGTGTGTATGTCCACAGTCTGAACAGTCTTAGCACTCATAGATTGGGTATTCTTATTTTACGTGTTTAAGGAGGATTTTAGGCATAACTCTAGTAGGCTAAATAAGCGCTTTAGGGGTTTATTTTGAAATCCCTCAGAAAGTGAATGAATAATCTTCTGCTTTTTGTAGACATAAACACTTAGGCAGAAACCTTTATTGTTTGACCGCTGTTATTATTCTTACTCCCATCCTAATCAGGGTCCATTTTCTCATTCTGGTATTATACTGAATAGTGCTGAATGTTGGAAAAAATGTAAATCATATCTCAGTCTTATGTTTACATCTGATCACCATGTTTGCATTTTATCACTGCTGCACTTTAGGAAACTGAAATGCCCTGTGAGCTGTACTGAACGAATTTTGCCTTATATGCAGCCTGTGTGTACACAATGGCAATAAAGTTTGTCTAAGTCTTTTTCTTTTTTTTTTTATGTCAAACCATGGCAAGCATGCCAAAAAAATCAGCAATGTCATTTATTTTTATTTATTTATTTTTCTTTACAGTGTCCTGTCTGGCGATGTGGCAATAAGAATAATTGAGCAAAACAGATTTTAGTTTCACAAGTGGAGCAGTACGGCTATCGGCCATAGTGTTCCACTGGATTTATGCATATAAATAGCTTTATTATAATTCATGGAGGGAGTGTTATGCTACGTTCACACCGGACGCAGCAAGAGCAGCAAAGTCGCGTCTGCTGCTTCATTTTTTGCTGCT